GAAGCTCTCGTCAAGAAGTCCCAATGGATTCTGATATGAACATTTGACAGAATACTTTTAAAAGCCAGCTAAAAGATGCAAAGCAATACATATTTTCTGACCTCAGGCAAAGCATATATCCTAACTTAATTTTAACCCCCTAAATAAGCATAAAACATTTATTGCTGACAAATGTGGACCAGTATTAGTTTGAACCTTAAAAGAAGGTACCATTTTTTTTTTTAAGAGTTAAGGTTTCCAAAGCAACATAAAATTAAGAATGAGAAGAGAAATCCCAAGGAGTTGTGAAGGTGGTTAACCAGACCTTAGATGGCTTTCGAATGTTTCTTTTCTTAGTGTTTTTGAGGAGTATTTATACCTCTCATCTTCTCCCTTTCACATGCCTTCCCCAGACTTCTGTTTTCTTGCTCCTAGAAGGCATGGACTTAGCAGTATGATTAGGTGTGCAATCATTCCTCCACCTTAGCTCTCCCTCTGGAAATCCAGGCTCCACTCACAAGGGACTAAAACAGTTTTACATGGGTCACAGAGGCAGTTAAGCTGCCATTGAGTGACCCTTCACTGTGCCCCCTGCTCCCACACCTCAGGGAGCCTGCATGGATCTGTGCTCTGTGTCCCATTGTTAGAGAAGGACATGCAGTCTTAGGGAACTTTGAAAACTTCAAAGTATACAAATGTAAGGGATTTATTGTTATTATTTACTCAGTTGCTGAGGTCTGATTATGTATCATGGCTGTGTGCTGAGGACACAGAAATGAGTGACTCTCTGTCACTGCCTTGAGGAGTCTAGTCTCAGCAACATGTTTATAAACCACTAATATAAGGAAAACAGTTATTTTTATTATGATTTTTGTTTTTGTCATTCAAGTTTTACAAGCTACTTAGATATTTGGTTTTACCTTTTTTTAATTAGTTTTTTTATTAGAATGCAAACTAATGGTTTAAAAAATTTCATTGAATTTTTGTGTATTTCATATAGAACATCTTTTTAAAAATATTTTATTTATTATTTTTCTGTGTATGTGTGTATTGCCTGCATGTAGGAAAGTGCACCCGTGTTGTACAATGCCCGCGGAGGACAGAAGAGACTGTCGGATCCCCTGGAACTGGAGTTACAGACAGTTGTTAGCTGCCATGTGGGTGCTGGGATTCAAACCCAGGTCTTCTGCAAGAATAGCCAGTGTTCTTAACTGCTGAGCCATCTCTCCAGCCCCCATATAGAACATCTTAATCAACTTTCTACCCCCTCCCCCACTGACACCCACCCACAGACCCCCACTGGAATTCATACATTCTGTCATTTGTGTTAAGGCCTGTCAAGTTAGTATCCCCAGATGTCCCTCAGTGCAAGTTCATCCACTGAGGTGTAGTCAGCCTATCTAGAGTCCCTTTAAGAAGATCGGCTCTTCCTCATCCAGCAGTAATCAGGTACCAATAATTCTTTGACTGAGATTGGGGCCTGCTGTCCATTTCCACAGTTCTGTGCTGGATTTTTGTCTGCTTAAGTATGCATGGGCCTTGTACATGCTGACACCGTTGCTGTAGGTTCATGTGAAAAGGGTCCCAGGAGCCTCTATTTCTGTACCTCCTCCTTGACTCTTACAATCTTTTTGCCCCCTCTTCTGCAATGGTCCCTGAGCCCTGGGTGGGTGGATTTTAATGTAGGAGTCCTGTCCAAGGACCCACACTGTGCACTCTTACTCTCTTTGTTTTAGCCATTTGTGACCTTTTGTGTTCCTGGTCCCCTGATGCATGAGGGAGCTTCTTTAATGAGAACTGAAAGATGTATTAGTGTTGCCTTTATCCCTTGTTCCATGTTCTATGAGCCTTAGGTGTAGAGTTTGCATCGTAGATGTGCCACTTAGTCTTGGGCAGTTCACAGACAATCTCTGTATATGACCAGTTGTAGAACTCTGTAATAATCTATCTGTTGATAAAGAAGCTTCTTTAATTGGTGGTGACTGAGATACTTGTCTATAGATTTAAGGATCCATATTTTTCACATAGTAAGAAACTACATTTGTCTAGGGATGTGACAGCCTTGGGTTTTTTTCTAAGATCTATGACCTCTCCAGGTATGTGTATTTGGCACACATGAGTTTCCTCCCACTGAGTGGGCTTTAGGTCCAATTAGGATAGCTGTTGATTACCCCCAAGATAAAAGTGCCATTACTACACCAATGTCATTTGCTGTGTTGGTCATTGATGTGGTTATTAGGCCTTGAAGCTGGGGTTTGACCATCTATTGATGTTCCCCCTTACCAGCTTGTATAGTGCTCTT